CTTTTTGCAGAGGGATCAGCAGCAACCAAGGGTTCTAGGCCCATTTCGGGTCGAGTCCTCTAGCTTTCGGCTGTGACCCAACGACGCCAGGCGGAGCTGGAGGGCAAGGCCCCCGAGGGCACAGGCCTGGACTTTTTGCTGGGCAAGCTGCCGCCCGGCACACGCGGGGCTCGAAATGGAGTCGGGGTGTCTTTCTATTTCGCCAGTTGTATTTAGTTCATGTCTTCGTGTCTTCGTGTTGTTCTTGTGTTGGTTCGTGTTTCGTTGTGTTTGTCTGTGTGTGTGTGTGCAGTTTGTGATTGTGTCTCTGTTTGTTTGCTTGTTTGTGTGTTTGTTTGTTTGTTTGTTTGTTTGTTTGTTTGTTTGTTTGTTTGTTTGTTTTGTTTGTTTGTCTGTCTGTCTGTCTGTCTGTCAGTCTGTCTGTCTGTCTGTCTGTCTGTCTGTTTGTCTTTTTTTGTTGGTTGTTTGTTTGTTAGCCCAAACGATCGCAGCACGCACTTTTTGCGTTGTGAAACACGCCCGCAACATGGCAAACAGGCTGACGGCAAACGATGGCACCATAATGTTCAGCGCGCACTCAACAGGGCAAACATGTTGATGGCAAGCACAGGCCATCAATACCGGCACACACACACACACACAACACGGATACTTCTTCCAGGGTTTCTTGATGAGCCATGTGATTTGACTTTAGGTTATATCAGTTGAGGGACTCTGAAGAAAGGACAGGGCCGCTTTATTGGGAGGGATCCGTAGGTTCAATGATACAAACAGAGATCAGCAGGACATGTGTCACTGGTTTGGAAGGAATAGGACTTGAGGATGTGTATCAACTCTACGCGTTTTAGAACTTGCTAGGATACGCGTTGCAGAATCCTTTTGCTAGCTTTATTTGGTCTACACTTACTTCTTTTTTTACGATTGTTCTAAAATGACAAGGTTGCACTTGGCAGAAATTCGATCAACTGTTTCATTACGGTTGAACCAGAAGCTTCGTTGTTGCTAGGTTGTCGAAGCATGCACCATGATGCAATCAGGATGCAGGAGACATGTTCTTCCAAAGCTAACTAACTTCCTTCTGAGGGACTCGATGTCACTTGACAAAGCTCAACTTGTTGTCAGTGTTGTTGCTTTGTAAATCAGAAGGGACTATCAAAGACGACCAGCCAACGCTGTCAAACCACATGGCCAATTCTGCGATGCCTGAACACAACTCCCAAACACCGCCAGGAGAGACATCAGAGCAAGGCCGTGCACTCGAGTCGCATGCTGTTCACTGAGCTATCCATTCATCCATTCATCCGTTCATCCCCGCATCCCTCACTTCTCCAGCCCGCTTTGGCTGAGCCTCCTTCCCGACAGGGGGCAACTCTTTGTGCCCGCGCAGTCGTTGAGCCAGAATTGGCAATTTCTCCGTTTCTGACTTTGGCACTTGACCAGTCAGTCAGTCAGTCAGTCAGTCAGTCAGTCAGTCAGTCAGTCAGTCAGTCAGTCAGTCAGTCAGTCAGTCAGTCAGTCAGTCAGTCAGTCAGTCAGTCAGTCAGTCAGTCAGTCAGTCAGTCAGTCAGTCAGTCAGTCAGTCAGTCAGTCAGTCAGTCAGTCAGTCAGTCAGTCAGTCAGTCAGTCAGTCAGTCAGTCAGTCAGTCAGTCAGTCAGTCAGTCAGTCAGTCAGTCAGTCAGTCAGTCAGTCAGTCAGTCAGTCAGTCAGTCAGTCAGTCAGTCAGTCAGTGTGTTCCTATGCATGATTGCTTCCATGCCAGAGATAGAGTCCGCTTCTTCTCTCCATCCGCCCCATGAGTCCACCCATCAATCTGTTCATCCTTCCTTGGGTCCATCTTCCCTGCGTTCAAAACTCTCTTGGCTTTCTGTCGATATCCTTTTCAAAAACACATCAGCTACAGAGATATCTACGTGGCCGGCAGGGTCTTGCAAGATGTTCCCTGCACTTTCTCCTGGCCCTCAAGCTTCCATTCGCTGATAGGACACTATAGTCACTAGCTTTGGTTGTGTGGTGCAATGCGGAACGCCTCCAAGCAGCTGGTATGAGATTTCAGCCCAGGAAGTTCGAGAAGGATTCGGACAAGGAGAAGGCGGACGCCATGATGAAGCGGGTGATCTTCATGTTCTTGCAGGACCAGGCGGCCCGGTGACCAGTAATTCCCCCATACGTGTTTTCAATGGCAGCTGCAGGAAGGGAACCGAAGTCTTCTTTTGGCCCGGATTCTTTGGGAGCTTTGGTTTTCCTCCCACAGGCTGCCAACCAACCATTCCGGTCTTTTGGGAACACCTTGTCCGCCATTGGTGACTTACTTCAGGTCTACAGATTTGCGTGTCGCCATCCAGAGAGCGCCGGTTGTTTTGCAAGTGGTGGTGTTGGGATAAAGCAGTGTGGAGCAACCAATGGCCATCATGAAGGCATGTTCAGAGTCCAGATATCCTCCGGAAAAGGTTTTGCGTCAGCGATATGCTGCTTCCCCAAACTCATCTCTTATAACCTTTGTAAGCCGCTCGAAAAAGGTCGGAGATGCTGTTGTCCAGAGATTCAGGAAACCGCATGTTTTATGCTCTTTGGCACCTCTGCGGGCTGTCTCCATGTCTGATTTAAGATTTAAGGTCTGCTCGTTCCCAGCGCCAGGTTGTGAATCAGCCCGCCTACGTCCCTCCAGAGTCGGCGAAGAAGCGTTGTGTGTGGCTGTGGGGCGAAGAGGAGGTGAAGTCCGCCTTGAGTGAAATCGAGGCCCGAGCTTGCACCGCCAAGTTTGGTCCTGCCCATTCTTTACGGCAATTTCAACGGAACGGCTGAGTTGCGATAGATGGTGCTCCTCCCGAAGTTGCTGCAAGGATGAAGTAGTCAACTACATGTGTCATCAGCACCTCACTTTGGAGTTTGATATCCCAAGCTTTTCCAGGGCCTACTAGGGGTGACTCGGGCAGATGCTTATTGGGCCAGGCACTTCAGGCTGTGAGGCGTTTCGGGAACAGCTGTTGAATGACGACAACTAGGTCATCGTTCCATCCATTCACAGCTTGTTTGACTTGCTGCTTTGTGAGGCGAACCGGCTTTAAAGTGATGTTGACTTTGACAGCCATGGGGCATGAACTTATGTGACGGGCACGCCCAGAGACCAAGCACACAACGAGGCAGATGCTATGCCTTTCATACTGTAAAAGAGACGAGGTGTGAAGGGCCTAGAGCGCCATCAGCTACAAGTGCTCCTGAGGTGAAGGCAACGGTTCCCGATGGCAAGAAGCTCTTGCTGCTGGAGGGCATCGATGATGACGCCAAGGAGAAGGTGACGGACATGCTTGGGACGGTGGGCCACTTGGCTGCCCTTTAGCTTTGCCCGATGTCCTTTTTCGACCTTCAGACGACAAACATATTCCTTTATAAACAAAGAAGCAGTGCTATGTGTTGCTTTTTTCTCTTTTCCCAGAGGATGGAGAGACCAATCCAGGCAAGCTGTTCCTCGAAGACTGCGCCCAAGATTTGAAGGCGACCGGGGAAACGTCCAAATGAGCCTTACTCAAGGCCCAGGAGTTTCTGGCCTGCGGTGCGGTTGGAAAAGACAGGCTCCGAAGGGCCTCTCTCTTCCGGCCCGGTCGCAGAGCTTGCAGCTGCGCAAGGGATTCGCAGCCCTCAGACCAGGGGTCATGTGGAGAGCTACAAACTATTTCAATCACATGGGTCGAAATATACCCCCCCGCGCCTTTCGTTATGTAAGGGGCTGTCCCTTAACTTGGCTGCATGCCCCCAGAAGCCAGGAAGACATTGGTTCTTATACGAGGCAAATGTTGCTAAACTGAGGCTAGGGAGTGGGAAACTGATAGCTCCGGACCGATACTCAAGCGGATACTCAGGCGATACCCAACCGATACAAATCCAGCACGCCGTGTCTTTGGTTTGCCATCGTCACACCAACTCCTCGTTCCTCTTCTTGATGACCGAACCTGCTTTGGAAACACGCGAAACAAGCCCGTGCGCCTCTGCCCGCTGCCCTCTTTTCCCATGCGTGTGACGTGGCCACGTCAACGACTGATAGTGACAACTGGCAGCCCCCAAAACATTGTAAGCCGATGCTGAGGGAAAATTACCGATACCAACTGATACCAGTGTATAAGCGTACACGGCGTACACTGGTTTCTTACGGGTTTGTCAAGGTGTTTGAGAGATTGGACTTCTCAATCGACCCCTGCTTAATCTTGACTCTAAAGTCTTCTGCCCTGCTCCTTGCTAGCTGCCGGAACATGGGGAGGCCCTTCCCTATTTTCCGAAACGTAAGTCTCAAGACTTGTTCTTCGGTTTGTCTTGCACGTCAAAGGACGATGCGAGGCCGACTGACGCCAGCTGCACATCACTGAGCTGAAAAAAAGGTGCGTATCTCCTGGTGGCGAGCTCAAGCGTTTGAGCAGTTATCCAATGTTCAGTAATTTAGGTGTTTTACTTTGCATGGCCTTCCCAACGTAAAAGGCCTTTGTGGGAAAATGACGTTCTACCTGAGTTGATGGCGATGCAGCGTTTCGCGGAATACTGTTCAAGACGTAAAAAAAACACAGACCAGCTCTGGCGAGGCGTTGTCAACCTGGGGCGAGCCTTTGCATGCATCCTTGTGGGATATGAATTATGAGAGTACTAAACCAGCTATTCTTGTGCGCATCTATACAGGATCCACCAAGGTACGCTTGTTGTTTGCAAAGACTCATTTTTGTGTTGTCCTTCTCTTGAAAGGTTTAAGTTGTTGTCCGCTTGTTTGTTTGGATTTGATCTCAAAGGAGGGCACGCACATGATTGCTTTGTTCCTGACCGTGCTTCAATCAATTGCGACCTTATTGTTTGAGAAGCTGGCGCTCATGAGTAATTTACGAGATTGCATGCACTCACTTCCTGAGTGCCTGGACTTTAAACTTTTAAAGACCATGTTGGTGGCACCCAAAAAGTTTGGCTACTTTTCCCGGCCAACCCACTCGATCGGACGTGACTACAGACTCGACGGACTTCGGGCGGCTCAGGCCTCCTTCCGCAGGGTCCAGCGATAGAAAACGCGACTCGATCGTCTGACGAGCCATGGGCGCGGGAGCATCTGCGAAGGATGGTGAGAAGGACAGAGCCAGACACAATTTGTTGTGTTGAGGCTTGGTGCGTTACTCGAAATTGTTTGTCAGTCTAGGCTCGCCCAAATATGTATCCATGACATAGCCCAACCGTTGGCATGGTTGGATCCGTTTTGGTTGCAAAATGATCGGGTCAATCTAGTTCTTGTGAAGAGCCATCTCCAAAACAGTGACTTCCTTTAAGATCCTGGGCAGACTTCCGTGGACAAATCCAGTAGCAAAGACTGACAGGTCCCTGGACCATCCAAATCAGACCAAGGCCAGAAACACCACTTCTAGGCCCTGACAAAGTTTGGAGGGCTCCCGTTTCTCAGACGGCAAAGGGTAGCAGACAAACCGGTTGCCTACGGGTGCTGTTTTGGAAAATACTGAGCCTTTGTTGGGCCAAGACTTACCTGCGTGCCGCACTGCGCCTGCGCCGTGCTCACGCCCGCAAGGATGTGAGAGTGTTGGGCCAAGAGTTCTGATGCTTGCGAAGACACCTGTCAGATTTCACTTTTATGGGCAGAGTGGCATGTTCCAATAGTACTAGTCTGTTTGTTGCTGCACTTGAAGACTTTTCAGGCGAGCCACAATCTAATCTGAGCAAGCATACGTTTAGCATCTAGGTAGGAGATGCTCATGTGGGGTGGGAGATGGGTGCCAAGCCTGTCAAACATGTCAATTGATTTAGAGAGGGGCTAAACATGTGAAGTCCTGGGTCCTTCCTTCAGTGTCTGATTCACCCCATTGAACGCGAATGTCGGGATGTGCCCACATCCCATCATGCTCTCAAACATCGCCAGCAATAAATAAATCGCCTCAACTTGGCCCGAGTGGGCTGAAACCGCGTGTCAAGATTGGATAAATGGGTGTGTCTTTTTGAGGGGACCCTACTTGAAGAAAAACTCAAATGAGCCCAATCAGAGGCTGCAGATTCCGTTTCTGTGGATTGATCCATGCCAGGATCTCGTATCCTTGATAAATCTCAAGCTAGCATTAACATGGGTTCCCACTAGCACCAATTGATCGAGCAGTCTGTGGTCGGACCCTTCTTTGGGTCAGTGTGTTTGGCAGGGAGTATGTATGCCTTTAGCAGCATTGCCGAAGTCGAATCAGCAATGCTCTCTTTCAAGCCGAAAAAGAGGAGGCGCGATCTCCAGGGCAGATTGTTTGCATGCCTTGACAGATGTGGTCCCCAATTGTTCCATATGGCGCGCTCGAATAGAAGACCCACTATATGCATAGATTGTCTCACAAAGGAGGGCTCATCAACGACAACAAGAGAGACTTCAACTTGAAACTGTTGTTGCTTCAAAACCTGGAAAACTCTTTGGCAATCAGCCCGGACTGACTGACTGGCAGACGGACCGACTAACGAACCGACCGACTGACGAACTGACGGACAGACCGACTGACTGACTGATGGACCGACGGACGGACTGGCTGACTGACTGACTGACTGACTGACTGTCTTACTGACTGACGCACTCGTGCCTATGTTCTTGCTTAATTCGTTGTTCGCAAACAAGCCTGTGACTTTGGTTAAATCTTCAGGCAGCTGAAGGCTCAGGGATGAGACTGCTGACAGAAGCTGAGAGTATTTGGTGCCTGTCTCTGCATTAGCAACATTTAGTGCAAAAAGGGGACCATGATCAGATGCCTTATAGACTGTCCAACACATTACAATTTGCGCACTGAGGGAGAGGGTCACAGTAGACGCAAAGCGTGCGCCATATGCCCGGCAGGCCCCAGACGTGGCTGCCATCGCCGCCAAGATGGATCCCAAGGACGGGCACGAGGGCAAGGCATGGGCCAAAAATGTTGAAGCAACCAGACCCTAGATCCCTTGACAGGGAGATCAAAATGAGGTTTGTTTAAAGCAATAGTTGCTTAAACTGTCAAGCACGTTGCACACGGACGCACATAAGTCATAAAGTACGGGTCTTCGCAGTACTTTTGAGAGAGCATTTTGGGAGATGTGTGTTTTGCTCACAGCCCCAAATCCATCTCGAATCTGAATGAATCTTGAATGGCCTCAGACCAGTGATATTCTAGACCACTAATATTCTAGATCTTGAGGTCCATCTATCTGGAATGCTTCACAGCTTACATCAAACCTAGCTTGTTAGAGGTCCTAGGCGCTGGACACAATATTAGAACTAGTGTTTGGAACGTGTTGAACACATGTTGAATCTGAAATCACTCTGGAATGTCTCCAGAATATGTCTACTGTCACTCCAAGGCTTTATGATTTTAGATCTCAAGCTTCATTCATTGTGAGAACGGATTTCTGAGGAATCTTGCATCCTTCCGCATCCTCGCATCTGGACTTGAGATGGTTTCAGTGCATGCATATCTTGGATCCAGGCCTGCATTTACACCCCAGGACTTGGTATGGAACACTGGAGGTGTCATTTGTTTGGTGCAGTGCAAGTTTTGCGGTTCGGGATGTTTGGGGTGTGGGCTACCGCCCAAGAAATCCCTCGCAGGTCGCAAGGTTTCTACCCGGAAGGCACTCAGCTCGCCCTGCCGCACACTTCCCTGGGTTCTGCAAGCGTTGAGCTCGCCGGGCTTTGGTTCACGTCTCGCGTTGGACCTGAGGACCTGGAAGGTATGATCAAGTCCCTGGACCACGAGACGTCGGGCAAGCTGCAGCAAGCCTTGCAGAAGGGCAAAGGCGGGACTGGACCCCAACCTTTGGACCCCTCAACATCTAGCAAGCGGCGAGAGGCTGCTCCTTTGTGTTGCGGCCACCGGACTTTTCCGGAACTTGCGAAGGCTTATTGGTTTGGGGGAGTCATGTTCGCATGAACCCCCTACACTGCAGGCACGGCAAGAACTCAATTGAGCTGATCTTTGAGCGACATGGGAAAGCAATCCTGTTTAGTCAAAGGAATTCTATAGGCGAACCCAAGCCATTCGACTGTTTTGGGGACGCTGGCGTGTTGGATTTCTGTAAACTTCCATATTCGGACCAAAGAGCCCAGTGACAACAGCCCATTTGCCTCTTCCCAGCATGGAATCAATGCAAGCTAAGAAAGCAAAACTGGGTGGGTTCTTCACAAACAAAACGGCGATCTGCAAAAAACAAAGGTTGAGGCAAGCCGCGAGGCCACCTGACCCCAAAGTTCAATGTCGAAGGCTGGGTTGTTCAAAGAGGCTTCAGAACAAGCCATGTTGATGTTGATTCTTGCCTTGCAAAGGCGTTTGCTTCAGCAATGATTGGGGCCAGGAAGGCAACGGGCTCCTATCCGTTGTCCGCTTTGCTGATGACTGTTGTTGTTTGTTTTATAACGAACTCGCAGCAGCAGCAGCAGCAGCAGCAGCAGCAGCAGCAGCAGCATGGCTTTCCTACGATTATGGACTCCACTTGAGATGCAGCTGAGAAGAACACCTACAGAACCAACCGTGTGTGCCTAAAATTCGGGCCCACAACTTTCTACCGCAGTTCTGCAGCCAAAACAGCTCGCAGTTCTGCAGCTTCCTTTTGCACGGTCCTCCCATGTCAGACATGTCAGACATCACCCCACTGGAATCAACAGAGCGATCGACGCGACACCGGGTTAGGTGTGGACGGCGCCTGTATGCGCCGGGCCATCTGGAAGTGGGACAACGACACCTTGCAGGAGGCCTTGTCGGAGGCGCTTTGAGTTGGAGTTGTGAGCCGGAAGCGGTTTCTCAGGGTCAATGTGGGAACGATCAGGAATGTGCCTGGCTGCCGTGTTTTGGCATGTCAATTGGCTTGGGTAGACAGCAAAGCCAGATAGTTGATTGGCTCTGGAGTCAGCTAAGTTAGTTGGCCAGCTTGTTCGCCAGCCAGTCAACTGCTCGAGCCGAAGCACGAACTGGCGACCTACTTAAGCTAGCTAGCTACTTAGCCAGAAAGCCACTACGCCAGTTCGCGAGCTGCTCTATTGACTGTTTTGCCGGCTAGCTAGTTTCCCAGAAATGACATGCGCCCTCCTGTCCACTAGCATGGAACCCACGAGAGGGAGGTTCCAGCTTTGTTGATGGGAGGGCAAGTCCGTAAGTTAGGTAGTCAGCCAGTCAGTTTGTCAGTCAGTCAGTACAGTTTGCTAGCCAGTCGGGCACCTAGCCAGCAGCGAGAAAGCCAGCCGCCAGCCAGTCAGTAAGTTGGAAGTCGTTAGGCAGCTAGAGGTAGCTAGGTAGTTATTGAGGTAGGAAGTGAGCTAACCAATTGGATAATTATCCTGCGAATAGCAACATACTTGAGTGGCTCATTTGTAGTTGCTAGTTGGCTTTTTAGCTGGGGAGACCTTCTGGAAACAGACGGTTTGTCCATCAAACCATATCCACACAAGGTGATCGAAGTGAACCACTCGCAAGGCGGAGCTGGAGGGAAAGGCCCCTGAGGGCACAGGCCTGGACTTTTTGCTGGGCAAGCTGACGCCCGGCCCGAAACGCGGGGCTCGAGATAGAGCCGGCGGTTGCTGAACTGAACAGCCTGCGGCTGTTGGAAACGGAGCATTTCGGGCGCTTTGAACATGTTAATCAGAAGGTGTAGACATAAACAATAGGAAAGAGATGGGCTAATGACAAACAAAGCACCTACAGCTATCAATAATAAACTAATAGACAAAAGCACAAGTATGGCGTTCAGAATTGCGCGCCTTGTTTTGCTCTGTACGGTGGATGCTCTAAATATTGCAACAACACCAATCATACTCCCACAAAACCATAGTAACACAAGTCAACTTAGAGGAGTCCTGTGTCCCTTATCTGGAATATTGAGGGCATCCAGGGTATCATGACTTCGCAACTTCGCACCCGCGGCCCCAGTTCCCATAGCCGAAAGGTCGCTGCCAAACGCGATTTGAACAAGTTGTATATTATATCTGTAACATACAGGTTTTAGGGTTTCCTGATTCTAGGATGCATTGCTGAAAGGACCCTGAAGCAAGGACAGGGCTGTATTGTGAGGCGAATGCTCGCAATTTGACTGGAGGTTATTTCGGAAATACAAGTAGCAGCTAGTTTCTGGTTTGGAAGGCAGCAGGACGTAGGTATGGTCATCAATCCTTGGCCCGTTTGTTTCAGAACTTGGATACTATACGGCTAGTTGGTAGTTGGCAATCCGGTATTTGCAGCATACGCCTTACAACCAGAAGCACTTGTTTTGGCTTGAGGCCACACCTGCTTGATCGCGTTTTCCTTCCAAAACGACGAGGCCTCATTCGGAGAGATGGGAACAACTTATTTGTTTTAGATCTGTAAGTGTTGGAATCAAAAGCGGGAATCAAAAGCGGACGCCGCGGCGCCACAACTAGGCAAGCAGGAGGTAGGGCAAGCTTCCGCTTTGAAGCTGACTGGCTTCGCTCTGAGGGATTCATCATCAGCATGAGCGAAGCGCTGCTTTTGTAGCCGCCTTTGACCAATCAAGTCCTTCTGCATGTCAGTGTAGCTTCATGAGTCAAACGGGCTGATGACAAAATTGACATGGCCAATTCTTTGTTTCCTCAACATCATAAGCGGGCTTGTGGGAGCGGTTGGTTAAGTCCATCCATCTTGTTTGTTCACGTTTTTGAGCATCCAAAATACGATTGGCCTTGTGTTGCTGTCTGTTGTTCAGCTTTAAGGTCCAACTGTGAAACGCGCCAAGAATTCCTAAACCCGTTCCAGAATAGTGCAGCCCAGAACGGGTTTAGCTTGTTACTCCTTCTCGGGACCGCTGGTTGCAACTAGGCTGATTTGGGTGTATGAAAAGCTCAGCACACCTTGCAAGGGTGTACCTTTGTCTTGCTTGAACCACCCACTATCCGGTAGCCCCTAGTTGTTGGTAGTTTGGAGATTCGGAGGTGGTCTCACCGATACAAGATCCAGGAGTATTCAAACCCCCAAACCAAGCGAAACCACCAGCTCGGAGAGGCTCGGAAGCTGACAATTCCAGTTTTCAGCCCAGGAAGTTCGAGAAGGATTCGGACAAGGAGAAGGCGGACGCCATGATGAAGCGGGTGATCTTCATGTTCTTGCAGGACCAGGCGGCCCGGTGACCAGTAATTCCCCTATACGTTTTTCAATGGCAGCTGCAGCAAGGGAACCCCAGTCTTCTTTTGGCCCGGAGTCTTTGGTGATAAGTGTTCTTTGATTCCGCTATTGGCTGAGGATAATGGCGATACAGGTGAGAGATGGGATAGATACTGTTGTTGTCCCTCCCTTCCCCGCAAAGGAACAGCAATCCCAACAAGCACCGAAACTGTAGCGGCTGATAGTGCTTAATAAGGCCCCCCAATCTGGGAGATTGCAGTGTTGGGGGTCCTTTGACAGCCGAAGGAAGAGAGAGTTATATATTCCTGCAGCCATCTCGTTCTTGTGTTGGCTCGCTTCTTCCTTGGAATTTCTGCCCTGGCGAGACAAAGGACCAATTATTGTAAACAAATGAACGAAGAGAATGGGAGCCAACCCATCCCAGAGCATTGTTTTGCTTCTTTCTCTTTTTTGTTCATCCTCAACGCTTTCATCGGTTAATCCTCGACAAATGAATTGGACAAGAGTCTCTACCAGGCTGCCACATGTTTTGCCAAGAGATGCCATAAGAAACCCAAGGTGTCTCACGGGGGAAGCTGGAGAACTCGAGGTCGGAAGGTGATCAGCGGTCAAGCTTCTCTCTGTCGCCATCCCTCTCCAGCCTATGTGATGCCGGCTGACGGCTCTTCTCCCTTGGTTTTTATGTTCATACGTTGTGTTTCCAACAAGAAACAGGCATGTTGCCCGTGGCCGGGCAGGTAAGAATTGTTTCATTTCAGTTTGCGCGTTGGATGTAAAAATTCCTTCAAATATACGGGTGATTCACCGATCTCATCCGATGCTCAGGATGATTGATTCTCCAGGTGAACAGCTTTTGTCTCGCGCTGTGCCCATTTTTGGCCGGGGCGATTTTTCTCCAGCGGCGCAGTTGAGATGAATTGCACCAGCTCTTATGAGCTGGTTCCCCAGACTCCCACGTACTCTGCCCAGCCTTTGAAGGAGGCTGAATAGAAATGGTATGTGCGGAGGTCTTTGGCCACTGTAGCTGTAGCTGGTCTCTGACTGATAGACTCATTCCTCACGCCAGGTTGTGAATCAGCCCGCCTACGTCCCTCCGGAGTCGGCGAAGAAGCGTTGCGTGTGGCTGTGGGGCGAAGAGGAGGTGAAGTCCGCTTTGTCTGAAATCGAGGCGCGCGAAGGACAGCGTATCCCGAAACCCCAGGCAGAGTCAGGATGCAGCTAGTGTTGGACTGACTATAGTGACTGCCGCCAACATGAGCTACGATACATGTCTGTCATAACAGGACCGAATTGTAGGGCTTCATGACTTGTAGGTCGAAGCCTGCTGATGCCAAGTGTGCGTTCAGCGCCTTTTTGTATACTGAGATCAACCACCAATTTTGAAGTGTGTTTTGGCAGATGAGGCATGGATTTATGTGACGGGCACGCCCAAAGCGCGCAGAAACACACGCAATCACGAAAAAACAATCAATTCACAAGACGACCTGACGCAATATTAATGGAAGAGAACAGGTGTCAGAGTGCCGATGGGGCTCCTGAGGTGAAGGCAACGGTTCCCGATGGCAAGAAGCTCTTGCTGCTGGAGGGCATCGATGATGACGCCAAGGAGAAGGTGACGGACATGCTTGGGACGGTGGGCCACTTGGCTGCCTTTTAGCTTTGCCCGATGTCCTTTTTCGACCTTCAGACGGACAAACATATTCCTTTACAAACAAAGAAGCAGTGCTGTATGTTGTTTTTCTTCTTTTTTCCCAGAGGATGGAGAGACCAATCCAGGCAAGCTGTTCCTCGAAGACTGCGCCCAAGATTTGAAGGCGACCGGGGAAATGTCGAAATGAGCCTTACTCAAGGCCAGCATTTTGGCCTGCGGTGCGGTTGGAAAAGACGGGCTCCGAAGTGGCTCTCTAGTCCGGCCCGGCGCAGAGCTTGCAGCTGCGCAAGGGATGCGCAGGACAGCCCTCAAACCGACAGTCAGGCGAACGATTGCAAGCACTGGGTGCCCGTGTGCTTGGACTCGATGACATCTTGATCTAAAATGTCCGGTTTTGTTGGGTGTGTTCTGCGCCGCATCTTGCCCGCTGCCAATACATTTGTGTCTGAAAATAGGGTGCGTCTTGTGGCCTGTAAAAGGAAAGCACAAATAGGAGTCTTTTTGTAGGATCTTCTCGATTTCAGACACGCACGTCCTCAACACTTGCGAGCCTCTATCGGGTTTGTTGCGCAGCGTCAAACGACAATGTGAGGATGATGCACTGAGTCTCTCACTGTGGATGACAAAAGGCGTGCCTGCTGTGATGGCCCTCCGAAATGGTTTGAACTGGCATGAGCCTTTTCCAACAATCATCGTCTTGGCAGCACATGGAAGCACTTTGCCATGAATCAAACTGAGCGTTGCTTGCCTTGCCCGCAAGGGGCTTAGACAGACCTCAACAGATTACACCTGTTGGGAGGTGGAAACGCTGGATACTGGTATGTGTCCTTGAAGATAAAGCATTTCTAGCCTTCTTATACTTGTTTTTACAACAGGGTGTTCCTTTTTGCCCTTGTGGATGATGCCTGGAGGGACACCGAAAGCAAAACCATTCTTTTTTGGGATCCCCGGCGCCATATTAAGATGCACTCCCCATGTAGGTCAATAGTGACGCAGCTCAATGGCTCTGTTGAAGCACTTGATTTGATTCAGCCAGCCAACAGCCCTGCGCTTAACATGACCAGGGCATGCGAGCCATGTTGGTAAAGGGTGGCCAACCAACGTAGGTGCAGCAAAAGAAAGATCGAGGCCGAAGACATTTCGGACAATGAACTTGGCCCTTTCCAAGTAGTGTTTGCTTGTTGCTTGATCAATTACTGTCCCGTGTTGCCTTAGTATTGGCCAAGTAGCAGTTTGGTCTTGAAATAAAACACCGGAAACCTTGATTGGAGTCCCCCGTCCCAGTTTTCAGGCAGAGGTGGTTAAGGTTCTTCATGACAACAAGTTGGAAGTCCGACTTTGATACTCACCCTGAGGCGTGCTGATTTGGTGCGGGGTAACCCTTGACCTCATGGGGTGAAACATGCCACATCATCGGCTTTCGGTTCGTGGTTGTTTTGAGCCCATGAGCAATTGTGTTGCATCATATGCGGCCCCTCCCCCAAGCGGTTGCTGTCATGTCGCTTCAGGTTCAACGTGTTTTAAGAGGGATCCTCGCTTTGACTGGGTTGTGCAAACGCAAATCTTCATCCTCATGCCAGATGGTAGTGGTTTCCCTTGTGGTGTCCCACTGCGGATTGCGCAATCCTCTATTTGCTCACTCCATTTCGAGGCTTAGACTTCGCAACTCCAGGCACCATGGCGGCTCTGAGCATCGTCGTGGGTGTGCAGGAGTACATACAGGCGACCGCCTCGTTCGAAGGCATATGTTGTCGTTTCCTTGGGTTTACACTAGCCTCCAAGCCGCTTAAATGGGCATGCCTCATGTGACCGTTATATCCCTTGTATTGGTATGCACATATCAGAGAATCTTTGTGCATGAATATACATATATATATATATATATAGGCGAATGTAACAATGTATAATCAGAAACAGCATTTTCCTCATCGGAGTGCTTCGGTGGGTGGGTATGTGTGGAGCTGGAAATTGTTCACCGCACGTGGTAGAGGGTTACAGTTGTGGAAGCCTGCGGAAGGAATTATTGTTGCACACTGTTTTGCTTAAGTCAGCTTTGAGTTTGTGGTTAATGTTTTTTGCCTTTTACAACGCTTGCATGTAGAGTGAGTTCCACTCAAGGGGTAAACACCTAGGGTCACTCAGCAGCCACAAGCGACTGAAGTCAACATGGATGAGCTCTCTCAGGGTACATCCGCGGCCCTGGCCTAGAGGGTCTTCCAAGGTTTGATGGTTGCCCTAAAAGGGGTAAAGCAAATCGACATTGAGCATGGTCTCTGTTGAGAATTGGAGAAGGGAAACCGCAGCACTGCCGAAAATCCAAGCCTGAATCTAAACCCCAAATCACCAGGATGCAGGGGACAACAGCAAGTAGTATATAGCTGTATGTATACCCTTTTTACTTCGTGCTAAATTGCCTATGTCTTTTCAGCTAATCCCCCCTAAACGGAAAACTGCTGAGTGGATGTTCTACATTTTTCCTCCCTACCTAGCGGCTAGCTTCGGTTTTTCGCGGTTTTGCGGGGGTTCGCGAAGCTGGCGAGGCCATGGTGGACCGGATCCCGGGCATGAAGGTGTTGCTCTTGGACGAGGAGACCCTAGGCTGGAGTCCTGAACCCGCTATTTTGGAGACATGGGAAGGGGCTTCCTAAGCACCAAACCACGAATCCAACCACCAATTAGCAAGCTGAATAATGGCCTAAATAGTTCATAGTTGACTCCTCTCATGACAAAGTTGGATTCAGATCACCCCACACCCTGTTCGAATCATTTCGTTTAGCCCTTTCTGTGTCAAGTTCCTTTAGCTGGCGAGTTCCTTCATCATTTGAGAAACGGGCCCAAAACAACTTCATTGCTTGGCCAGTCAACACGGCAAGTCAGTGTGTCAAATTGGAGTTTGGACCCCAATGCGTGGGTTTCCTTGGTTGGCCTTTAACCTGGCTTGAAACGGGTAGCCTCAAAAAGCAGGCCCTTTTTTGTGGAAGCTGCGGATTGGAACTTGCTGGAGGTAATCTTTGCACGAACAACCAGTTGCAATCTGACGTGCTAAATACTTAGATCGAAAAGGAGAGAACGGTTACTAGCCGCAAGGAAGAACATGGCGTTGCCGCGCTGGTGAACGCTGTTAAGGGTCATGTGCCCGCCGGTGAGCAACCATGGGTGGTTTTCCAGGCATTATCAGCATGGTCTACTCGCAGAGTGACATCCTTCAGCACGAGGCGGGTTGGTGCTTGCGTCGATGTGCAATGGGCCCGGCTAGGGATATGCTTCTCCTCACCCGTTTGGTTTCCTCCTACACGTAATTATTATTTTTATTCCTGGCCGCTGCCTGGTTTGCGCGGTCAATCGCAAATATGGCACGATGCTGTTCCGTGACCAAGGGTGCAAACATAGTCTGCAAGTGGTGTTGGGAAGACAAGCATATTTGAATGCCTCCTTTGGTTGGAGACTCAGCCCATTATTGTTGTGGGAGTGAGACCTGGTCCTATTTCCACTTGGGTATGGCAGCAGAGGGTGGTTTTTTAACTGGTCTGCAGATGTTGTTTTTGTTTTTTCTTTCCGGAGCCACTGGCAGGTTACTCTCTGATGGGACTGCAGCTTATAAGATGTGAATCAGCTGCTTGGTTGGTTCTGCTGTTGAGGGTGCGGGCAGCTACAATGATCAAGTAGCAGCCGATCTGCGAAGAGTGGTCTGACATCTAAGGTATATCTATCTTCTTGAGATCACTATTCATGAACGGCTCCCTTCCAGTAGATGGGGCTGCAGTGAAATGTTGCTGAGACTATGGTGCTTGCAAGAGCCTTGACATGTACGATTCCTCCTAGTGCGTTGACCTTTCCCGAGCCAATGAACAATTCCTAGATGGGCGTTCTCGTTGACCAAGAAAGGACTGCCTTGGACGAACGGGAACCTATGATCAATAAACCCCTAGTTGCTTCATAGGCGGGTGTCCTATTGTAGAGGAACCTCTTCACTTTTGGAGGTGAGCACTGCCCAATAATCCGCCAGGTTGTTTAGTTGTTTAATCCGGGCCGCCATTACAGCTCGCGTGAGCCTTAGTACAGGCTGTTTCTTGTCAACCAGGTCGTCGTTTGGCCGCGCTGAATTGCATCCAGCTTGTGTTTCTTACTTGTTTGGACTGTTTACTTGTTACTTTTGTGTGCTTGCGTGCTTGATTGCTTGTTTGCTTCTTAGTGGCGAATCAAGCCGGATGGCGAAGGCATTGTACGCCTGCAGAGTTTCCTTGACAAGCGGGGGGTGGCCTGAATTGGTTTCATATTCATCGTCAAGACGGAACACGGTCACCCATCTTGCGTGGGTGATGTCTACAAGTCGCTCGGCGTTGCTCGCAGCTAGTATTGACGAGCTGAAGCAGCTGCAACGTGTGTCACAGGTTGCAGGGGACACATCATGGTTCTGTTCTTTTTAGTTCCCAACACATCATGGTCACCCGCCACAGGTAGTCAAGCAATGTTTGCGACCGAAGGACGGGCAGAGAAAAATAACTTTCTGAAACGCTGAGGATGCATTAAGCTACTACTCACTAGTAGTGATGGCAATCTGACCTCTTCAAGCATGACACAAGTTAGACGATTGACGTTTGATTGTCATGATTTGTCCATGTCCATTCATTGTAGATGTGACATCCAGCGTTTGTTTGCAAGACTTCTGTATCACAAGTGTCAAGCAACATCCCCGGCCTGCATCTGCGAATCTCGGGGATTGCGCCGTCGGGAACCCAAGCCAATGTACATGGGAGCAATGTGTGTGATGTTTGACCACGCGATTCTTTGCGTTTCTGAGCGGATGCGTACATGCGTGCATGCATGACTGTGTGTGTGTGGCTGCATGTTTGTGTGCAATGGAAGGACACAGAGCGTGTTTGTGTACAGTAGGTGTGTGTATGTGTGTGTGTGTGTTTTGTTGTGCTGCGCTATGTCCGGTGGCGCGCTGCTTGCTTTGCGCTGTGTGACGTGCCGCGCTGCGGGGTGTGGTGCCGATTGTTTGTTTAGTTTTTCGTTGGTTGTTCGTTTGGTTTGTGTTGCTGCATTGCTTGGCTAATTTGTTCGAGCTTCACGAAAGTTTGTTACACCCTACTTCACACTTCACCCCTCGTAGGCATCTCCGCTTGCATCCAAGCACCAGCCTGTGGCATTCGGTGCACAATGCATTCTTGCATGTTTGCAGTCTTGCTCCAATCGCTGCCAATCATGAATATGGGCCGTTATGTAATGCCAGCTTCTTTTATGCTACCTGGCACAAGGCTCTCCAAAGAGGGCCACCATTTTGACATCCCTAAGCTGTTCCAAACAGATCCTTGTGAATGCACCAGTATACAAGTTACAAGGCAAAAGTTCCTCCTGGGCGACCACCAACGGCAGCCATGATGATTAGTCACCTGTGACTGTGGGCTATCCAGGTCCTGATGTGTGATACTCGGCAAATCGGGATGTTTCAGGTTGGCGAAGGCGAGTTCTGCCACTAAAAGCATCAAATCCACCCTGCTGTCAATGGAGAGAGCAGAGAGAAGTGGACAGCGCAGCAGGTCATGAGGCAGCCTAACACACGCCGCAATGTAGGACTTCTGACATGAGGAATGCACACAGGGGCATGGAATAATTGGACAATAAATCGGGTTGCCCGGCTTCATAGTAGAAGCCTGATGGAGGGAAAGCTCAGAGCCAGACGCAAAGACACTTCCTGGCCAAACCGATGATGAAACGCCTTAAGCAAGGCTAAGGAATCCATTGTTTTCATGGTTCGAATCCCAGGGTTGCGTGTGTTTACCTGCTTGAGCGGCGAAAAAGGACTGGTCCAAGGCCCGCCATGCTTTCTGCGCCGACGCCAGAGGATGTGGCCGGGATGCCATCCGAGTTTTTGAGATCTCGGATGCACAACTATGCTGGTTGCGAACTCTGGCAAATTTCCCTGTGTAAAACCAGGTTGTATTGATCCTTAGACAAGCGCGAGGCGAGGGTGGCAGGACTTAGTGAGAGTTGCGGCATGTCGGTTTCTTGCAAAAGTGGGCCAAGGGGCCATAGCCAGTCACCAGCCGCAAGAACTTGAGTTGCAAAGTCCACTATGGTGTTGGCGCCTGTGCTTAGATCTCATGATCCCCAGACTGACCCTTCCTGCAACAAGCCTCACTCGTTGATGGTCAATTGCACGGAAAGCCCAGCTCAGGGTCACCAAGGCCTTTGGAACTTTTGGCAAGGGACAGCAACCTCAAAATGGTCGTGAAGGGCTGGCCGAAGGAAGCCTCTTACTATGACAGGGTTCGTGTGACAGACTGGCTCCTGCAGGCATATGTTGAGCAGACGGCAAAACAAGAACATGCGTACTACACACCAGGCGGCAAGTTTGCACTCTCACCAGTCACCATCCTGACCTTCAGCGACCAGCGCGCGCAAAAATCTTTCGAAAAGTACGCGTGCGCAAGTTTTGCTGCCAGACGGCCACTGTATTACTGGGATAAAGAGGGAACCTGGAAAGGGGGATGGCACAAGCTCATTGCCACCAACTACCTCAGTAAAGTCGACCTCGTCATCAACCTCGCCCTAGCCACAGCGATGCACATCCTCACAACACACCAGGACACAGGTTTTGCAGGAACATCGCGCCTCTCCCACAGACCATGAGACAAGCAGATTTTCGACTTGCAGGACAAAACGGCCGTTGCCAAAGCCACCTATGATAAGGACAAAGGCACACTGGCAATCATCTCCCAAAAGCACTTGGTAGACATCCTCCGCAGCCATTGGCATTGAAGCTTGGAGAACCGTGCACAAGGACCACCCGTAGTGGCAAAGGCAAAGAACCAGAAGGTAGCAAGGCAACAATTTAGGCAACAATGGCTCTCCTGCAACAGACAGAGGAGCAGAAGTCTTAGGCAACAATCCCCTAGCCTCCGGTGCACCAATAATTTGGCAGAAGTCAGACTCAGTCGGCCTTCCAGTAGGCGCCCCGAGACAGTGCCCTTTGGGCTGACGAACCGTTGTCGGAGCAATTCTTCAATCGCAAATTATAGAGACCCCCCTTTCTTTTACAACTCTAGACAGTCTAAGGCGTATGATATCTATACATAATGTTACACCTGGTTTAATGCTGGTACCCTGATTTATGTCAAGTTTCCTCGGTTTCAACGCGACCCCCCCTCCCACTGTTTCGGTATGAGTTATATCGAGTTGTTGTTGCCGAAAAGCACAATCCGCGCAAAAAACATGCAGGCAAAACAAATCACGCCAAAGCTCACCGGGCAAACGAATCCGGGCAAACATTAGGAACTCCTTTTTGGAAGTGGTACCCAAACCATCAAATTTAAGATATTCTCTTTTTGCAAAAAAAGTAAGGGCAAGCAGGCACACAAAGGGAGTTGCCCACAAGAGGCCCGATTCTGTTTAATGTGACTGTTTTGGAGTTCTTTCATGTCCAACTTGTTTGAGGGGGTTACTGACACTGCCAAATCAAAGCCTTGGCCTTTACTTTTAAAGGGCGGTCGCCTGACCAAGCTCTTCCCAGCTTACGGGGTAAAGAAAGGCCTGAGAGCAAGGAAGTCCATTTTGCTAGTGGTTTTCAAACCATAAAAATTAACAAACTTCTGCATAAAACCAGTGATCCTGCTCGATATGACTGTTCAGGGGTCTTATTCAATGTCCTTGACCAAGTACTGGGAAATCCAAAAGTAAATCCTGGCAATACTAGATTTAAACTAGGCATTACGGAGCTTTGCACTGGGAATCTAAAAGAAAGTCCTGGCAGTACGAAACTAGACCAGGCAATTCCAAATTAGATCAGGCAATACTGACTAGGCAATACGAAATAGAGTGCTGGCAATCTGAAAGGAAATCCTGGCAATACTAAGTTCAAACTAGGCAATACCAAGCCAAGCACCGGGAACCAGAGAGTAGTAATTCCTATTCTTCCTGGTAATACTAAACTTAGACTAGGTAATACTAACTTAAGTTCTGGCAATCCAGCAGGAAGTTCTTGCAATACTAGACTAAGTTGTGGCAATACTAAAGCAATACTTACGTCATCCAAGCTCCCTGCCAGACCCCTATTCAGGACCCCTGAGCACTGGTTTAACTGTTGAGGGGAAGAAGGGGGCGGGGAGGCGGGCCCCACATTAAACAACCGCCAACATTATACACGTACGTACATACATACGTACGTACGTACGTACGTATGTACATATATACACATACGTATTAACAAGGA